CTAGGGAGTTGGACATCTGCCTTCCGCGAACCGCTTTGCTCCTCCTGAAGCGTGCCGCCAAATAATTACTGATTAAATAATTTCCTCAGCATTTACATAGGTTTTTGGTCAGCGGTCCACCGAGTAATATCGCGTAAGACGGCTTGGCCTCAGTTAGACGGAAAAGATTCCCAAATGAATGACGTTGTCTGCCGATTTTTCTCGTTACAGCCCACATGACTTCTTCTTGATGCAATCTTCCCAGCTTCTTAGCGGGCCAGGCAGAAAGAGATCCTTAGATCAAAACATGTGACTAAAGAGTGGGCAAAATGTCAGAGAAAAACTTGCACAATCACAGCGCATGTTGTAGATATGGGCGAACCTCGACATTCTAAAACATCCACATGAAAGCGTCTTCAAGGGTTTTAACTGCAAGTGCACGCATACTGCATCATCTGACCAGCAGAAAGATGGCATTTATGGACACTTCATGAGGCACAAGGACGTAAAAGTACAAATATGCAAAAGGACGTCGAATTCCCACACTCCTCCTTCGCCCACGAACGAGCTATATTCCGAACGTCCGTTTGTAACTTGAAACATCTGTTACTAGTTATCCAACCTCGATTCAAATTTACATTCATTTGTGAGCTCGATAAAAATGCAAGCACATGGTCTAGATTGTGTTCAGGAAATCCTAGCCTCGCAAATACTAACTGAACTTGCAAACACCTTTTTTTGTAAATTTAATAGTTCGTTATATGAACGTACGTTATTAGAGGAGTATATGTACGATGAAAGTTATTCTGAGAAAGCCGGAATTAATAGAAAACAGTGATTTGTTTCTGGGAATATTACATTCAATTTTTTAGAAGTGTTGGATATAATTTAGAAAGCAATTATATCTGTTTATTCCCCTCTAAGAAGTAAAATTAAAATGATGCAATAAACGAAACAATGGACAGTGATGCACGAGCAAACATTTATCAGGTCAAGCGACCGAGGCGAAATTCCCCATACAGAAACAGATTGGTATGAACTTAAGAAAATGTCAACTAATACCTGATTGGAAGAAGATGTTCATAGTGCAGTGTTTATAGGAAATTGGCTTAACAACAATTCTTATGTATCCAAAAGATAGTTTAAGAAGCTGCGCTGCAAAACTCGAGTGATCATCAAAAGTTTTAGACGGCGGACATTGCAACGAAACCCACCTTTCTTCCCTTTTTCATAACTTTCGGCTAAAAAAATGTTATGTCTTTGGCTTCTTAAGTGGCATAGAGTCCTCTTTTCCCCATACGGTGCACTCGTTTTCCGCTTAATGCACGGAGGTAAAAAAGCAAGCTGTTGAGTAAATTTCCAATTAACACTACATGAGTAGTGAAAAAGTGCGCAGTATACACACAAAGCGCAAGGCGACGAATTTGTGCTGATAACTGCTATCCCTTCAACTTTTTAGATTAACGAATTCACAAATAGTTCTCAGGCTCATTTAAATTTCTGGTAATCCTATAAAGGTTATTTAACATGAAAAGTCGACGCAATCGCTGGTCTTTCTATAAGGCGATAAGAAAGTTATTGAATAAAAACAAAGAAGCAGTTGTTTCAGATTAAAATTACTAAATTAATGCATTTGAAGAGGGCAGCTTCAGCATATCAGGACAAAGATGCGGAGAAAAGCCCGAGGATAGCAGGACATCAAAACAGTCCTATATTTTGGCGGTAAGCATAAGCGGATATTGAACCTGGACGGACTTTTTCATCCACTGCCAGATTATCACATTTCCAAGAGACACCGAGATCATATTATACAGCTTAGATTACTTATTTTGCCTTAAGTATGCCAACAAATTTGTTTTATAAAACACTATTTCTGGACGTGAAATCGTACTTTAGTATTTATTGCCAAACGTACTGTCTGACCCTTTCACAGCCATAATAGAAAACGTTGCCTATCGCAACTTACCGAAAGTTTCGCCGTGGCGAAAATCTCCTTCATGCAGCGTGTATATATTGGTGATCCGCGTGAAGTAGCGGTCAAATCTGGAGTCTGGAATGGGCACCTGTAGGCTGCCACGGATCTGCTGACGTACCTCCTCAGAGTTTCTTTTTTCGGGTTGCATCCAGAGAATGGGAATGCGGGAGAGTTCGATGCTTACGCGCAGATCTATTAGAGATTGCAGAAATGTAAGTTTAAAATAAATCCACAGTCTGCTCAAAAGAATATCTGTACAGTGGTCTGTACCGTGAAAAAGAAACTTTACGACTTCAAACGTTTTCCAGCTGTGGTTCTCATGGGACTGCCATAAGTGAATTGAAAGTGTACTGTTCTTTTTGTGGAATATTAGCTTTCGCAGACAGTCCATAAAATGTATTCATGACTTACTCAAACGACTGAAACTGAAACGACTTGTTTGCTGTCCCCAGACAACCATGTCTGAAAGCGCAGCCCAGTAGTAACTAAAAGGAGGCGACTTCAAAGCCTACTCACCCGCTTTGCTGAAGTTACTATAAAAGCAAGCAAACAGTCGTTGTTGGTGGTGGATACTGTGCACAGGAGACGCCGTTTATCTTAGATGATCCAAAAGGCTGAACCCCTAAATTAAGTTTCTGGAAAACAGTATGTTAGACTTGTGCTCGGTTCCATATTTTGAAAGAAGCTGTCGCCAGACCAGACCTAACTTCCAGACAGATAGCGTAAAGTGCAGTTGCGTTTGTTTTGCATACGGTGCACGTTAGCGCTCTATGGTTAGAACAGTCACTTAAACAATCAGTAACAATACCAGCAAACACTTTCACTCAGCTACACCCTTGTAAGTAGTATTAGAAGCAGCAGTATTGGTGGGAGCAGTACCGGTCCTTTCTTACTAAAATCTGGCTAGACACCTACTATGGGTGAGTGAGGGTAAATAGTGATATAGTTTCAGCGCAAAAGGCTACTGTAACACCATGGGACATGACAGAACCTGCGATACTACTCAATAATATCTCGTTAGCCAATAGGATCACACAGCCTGATGGATAGAGTTGAGAGGGCTGAAAACGAGAAAAATCTTGATGTTCTAATATCACCATTATTACTAATTGCCTTATTCCTGTTACACTGACTTAGACTGTCCCACTATACCTACCTTATACTAATATGCGCAAATATACTGTTTACTGTATTATCGTACTACTACAGATGTACACTGTATTAGGCCTAAATGTACTCTAAAGACGGCAAAATGCTGGACAAAAGAGCATGGTAGGACTTGTGCACTACTCTACAAACACTCTATTATCCAAATGCCAATTACTATTACATCACACAGATTTGGAGTAAATACTGGGTGCGACTCCTTAAAAAGCATACACAGGCAGTACTTACCAAGTACTGGCCTTAGTTAGCACGATTACTAGAATAAGCACTTCTAGCATAGGCATTTAGCTATATCAGCATCATCTTAGTCCGTACATTTCAATGGATCGAGTTGAGAGTGCGGAAACCAAGACAAACGCAGCTTTGCTCAGGACCCAGAGCATGTACCTACCCGAAATAGTTAAACCCAGATCCACATTCCTTGTTGAGAACAAGGGGATATGAGCCCTAGCGTTGGCTTAGTCAGCCCTAGCACGAGTACTACTACATTTATTGTAGGGATTTAAGGGATACGAGCCCAGTGCTGACTTTAATCAGCGTCACTTCTGACTTATTAAACAGTCAGTAAATGTCCCAGCAAATACTATTACCCAACTACACTCTAGAAAGTAGTATTAGAAATAACAGAATTGGTATTAGTAGTACCAGTCCTGGCTGACTTCAGTCTGGCTAGACACCTATTATAGGTGAGTGAGGGTAGACAGTGCAGTAGTATCCGCGCAAAGTCTACTGTCAGTATATACTAAGTTTAGTCGGTGTTTACGGCTGCGGCCTACGCCCTCTCGCTGCGCGTTCATCTCAACTTTGTCTTGTTACCGTTTAAATGCCGTTGAGAGGCTTTAGACTGGGGTAGATGGCGGCGCGTCTAATTTCCCTAAACCTGACCACAGTCAGCGTCT